ACCCCTTAAAACTTGAGGCACTGGGGTTGGTTCTCAGCACCGCATATAAATAAATGAAGGTCCATTGACAGTAAACAATATTAAAAAAAAAAAAAACTTAAGGAAACAAATAACATTGTTTTGGCATACTTTTATGCTGACTAATGAATTAATATACTGCATGATTGTGTAGTTTTTCTTAGTTGTTTTATGCAGCTATAATGGAATACCTGAGATTGGGTCAGTGTAAAGAATGAATTTATTTCTTCTAATTCTGGAGGCTGGGAAGTCCAGCAAGGGTCCCACATCTGGTTAGGGTGGTCTTTTTTTTTGGTACTGGGGATTGAACCCAGGAATGCTTTATCACTGAGCTATATCCCTATCCCTTTTTATTTTATTTATTTATTTTTTTGGTGGCTCTGGCTGGGGTTGTCTTATTGTATCATCCATGGAGGAAAGCATCAGAGTAAATGCAACAGAGGAAGAGAGGGAACTCAAGCCCATTGACAAATTGGTGTTGATCCACTCATTAGAGTGGTACCCTCATGACCCAGACACATCTCCCCTTAGGCCCTCCTCTGAACACTGTTGCAACAAGGGTTAAGTTTCCAACTCATGCTTTTTGAGGGACACATTGAAACCATAGATGGCATTGTTGATATGCCAGTGAGCTTAAGTCTAGTTTGTTTATGGTTTAGAATAATTTTTTCCTGATACTCCTGAAGTAAATTTTTATCTTCAAACAGGTTATATTGTTGTAGAGTGATCATGGTTTTAAAAAATGGGAATTGACTGCACTTAAAAGATGTAAAAGAAAAAAATTACATGAATCCCTAATTTGAGTTCTTCAGCACTGATTACTTAATTCATTGTAGCTGGGCCATCAATTGTCATGAGGGGGTGTAGTTATAGTTCATAATCGATCTTTCCTGTCTTTCAATAATGTCACATCAGCTGTATTGGCAAAGAGGTAACTAAATACTGAATAATTTGATGTTCAATTGATTTATATAGACTTATCTATTGCTTCTACAGTGTTTAAAACCTGCAAAACATGTTAAAAATCTGTTGTATTTTCTTTTAGAAAAGATCTGATATTGTGTTGTTCAAGACCTAAAACAGACGTTTGATACTTTTTTTTTTCAATAGTACATAACTGAATTAGCAAACGCCCTATCTTACTGCCATTCAAAGAGAGTTATTCATAGAGACATTAAGCCAGAGAACCTGCTTCTTGGATCAACTGGCGAGCTTAAGATTGCAGATTTTGGGTGGTCAGTACATGCTCCATCCTCCAGGTATGTAACATTATAAAGGTGGAAGTTGTTTAGCAGAAGTTCTGGGGGCTGATCATATACTAAGTGCAAAAATCTCTAAAAATATTTTGTTAAGTTGGGGCAAGTGACCAACCCAGAAATAATTTAGGTCTGATAATAGATGTTGTCTTTAAGAAAACTTTATTCTGTATAGCCAGGTAGGTCTATATATGGTACTCTGGGCCCACTGTTAAGGATGCTGAATGTCTTTAGAGACTAATGAAGAGGATGGACAAGTCAACATGTGACAAGTCTAAGCAAGATGCAGATGTGTAGAGAAAAGTCCACCTTAATGGTGGGAAGGAGATGCTGTTGCTTCCCAGATAAGGAGACAAGGAAAGTTCCAGAGACAGCACTACAGAGATCTACAGCTGAAAGTACAGTTTTTTGGGGAACTTTGAAAACCAAATTGGTTTGGCTGGATGTCTGAGGATGGTGATAAAAGAGTCTGTTTGCTTTTTGTCAGCAGGAGGAACAGTCCTTTCTTTAACCCCCTTAAAAATGAACAGAGACATCATCTAATGAAACAATTGGGCCTTAGGTGAACCTGCCCAACAAGAGCAGGTTTTAAATTGATTTGGGTTTAAATAAGCTTTGACGCCTGGTGTGAGTGGGACATTGTAAAGTGTATATCTACTGTTCAGGCTTGTCAGCTTTGAGGGAGGACTTTAAAAGTCATCAGGTGGTAGTTATTAAGATAAAGTCAGTTAAAAGAAATTGTGTAGCCTAAAATAGACAACAGGGGTGAGGTCTTGGTCATTTCTGTTGTCTGCCATATGTTAAATCTGCTGTTATAGTCTCTTAGAATTGTAGTTTCATGAGGCTGCAGGGTTTAGCTTGACCTTGATGTGTCCAGTGGTGTCATCATGACAGAAAATACAAGGCTTATTTTTTCTGGAGAGATCATTTATATAAATGTTGATGGCCACATCACCCTGCATCCTGAATGTTAATAACTATAACAGTTTCCTGGTTATTGTGGACCACTGTGTGAGAGCCCCTGATGGTAGGTCTCAGTGGGGGTGAGAGCTTGGACATCTGCACAGGTAGCTGCATACCTGTTTCACTGAATGTACATTTGTGTGCTCACGAGACACCAGGCAAGGCTAAGCGCAGCTCAAAGCAACAGGAACCTCCATAGTCTGCCCCTGGCTGCATGCCTGTCATCCCTAGCTTATTCCTAACCTTGTTATGAAATGGCCGAGTTGGTAGTGGACAGCATGCTGGTCTGCCCAGTGCCTCCATTCAGCAGGTCTTAATACTGCCATATTGGCTGCATCTGTTTTTTTGAAAATAGGCTACAGCATCATGATCCTTGAGCACCACCTAAAAACCAAGGGATTGTCCTGTATAATCACAATCATTATCACACCTTAGAAAATTAACAGTGTTGTTCATATCTTTATCTATGTTCGAATTTCCCCAGTTGTCCATGAAATTTTATCTTTGTATTGCGGATTGGACTTGGGGGCACTGAGCCACATCCCCAGCCCTATTTTGTATTTTTATTTAGAGACAGGATCTCACTGAGTTGCTTAGCACCTCACTTGCTGAGGCTGGCTCTGAACTAGTGATCCTCCTGCCTCAGCCTCCCCAGCTGCTAGGATTACAAGTGTGAGCCACCGTGCCCTGCTATAGCTATTTTTAAAAATCAGAACCAATAAAGGTCCATCCATGGTATTTCATTCTTTGGTCTTGATCTAGACTATCCCTTACATTTTTTAAATGTATTTTTCTGATTATGGTGTCACGTGAACTACATTTACAGAGAACTTTGTAAGACAGCTTTTTTTTTTAATGATACTTTCAGTCTCTTCTAGATTATTCAGAGGTTCTATAGCTGGATAGATTTGGGCTAAAGCTTGGTTGCTAGCTATGTGATCTTACACATCTCTCTCCTGTGCTCTGCCCAGAAATGGGGTTGACAGTGCTTCCTGAATAGCATGGGGTCTGGCCTGGTGGGGGCGCTCAGTCAGTGTTAGCATAATTAATGATTTAGCAGCTGCCATGATTTTAAAACCAGAGCACATCAACCTGAGCCTCCATTCTTTAGGAGAACCACTCTCTGTGGCACCCTGGACTACCTGCCCCCTGAGATGATTGAAGGCCGGATGCATGACGAGAAGGTGGATCTCTGGAGCCTTGGAGTTCTTTGCTATGAATTTCTAGTTGGGCAGCCTCCTTTTGAGGCAAACACACACCAAGAGACCTACAGAAGAATATCACGGGTAAGACGAACAAAAGGACCAGCACTATTAGAATTATTTTCTTATCAGCCTGAACTTTAAGCTAAGGTTGGAATAGCTAGGCAACTTGGTCTCTCTAACTCGTGTTTGTGACATGTTGTCACTTGTGCTCCAGGTTGAATTCACATTCCCTGACTTTGTGACGGAGGGAGCCAGGGACCTCATTTCAAGACTGTTGAAGCATAATCCAAGCCAGAGGCCAACTCTAAGTGAAGTACTTGAACACCCCTGGATCACAGCAAATTCATCAAAGCCACTGAATTGCCAGAAAGGCAAAGAGTCAACTAGCAAATAATCATAATCGTGCAGGGAGAGAAGTGTTGAACCAGGGCTGCTATATAGTCTTCAGGAACATGCTGCTGAGACTCGTCTTACTGTCGAGTACCTACTTGCCTTTGACCTAAAGAGAGCACTATGGGAAATGTCACTTGTCCTGCTGAGCATGCAGTGCCTCAGCCTCCCTGCCCAGAGAGCTCCACTATAGTAACCACACCCTTCAGAGGGAAAGCAGCCACAAGTCGTGCTGCTTTTACGGGTTTCGCCTGTAGCTGTACCCACAGCTGTGCCAGGCAAGGTGGCCTTGCAGGAGACAGACTGGGAGTCTGGTTGTGAAGAAAAGTGACCACTTTGCCCTGAGTCGGCTAAGGAGCTGTATAGCAACCTTCAAGTACCTGAGTGTCTGTGTTAACTTATTGGGTGGGCAAGCCTGGGAAAGCTGTTGGAATGAATATGTGACTTCCTTTTAAATGTTAAAATAAAGGTTTTTATATGGTTTTTTCCTTCCATGGCATCCCCTTAGATTCAGTGTCTGTCAACTTTATTAAGCCTGTGGTTTCTTGTCCTCCTTAATGCTGTGTGATGTAGGAGTTGTTTCTAAATGTTAAGGGCTTTTTTTTTGGGGGGGGGGTCTACCTGTAGTGCATGGTTAATTAATATTTTCACCACCTGTTCATTGTGGTGAACAGGTTATGCTCCAGGTTAAATTCACATTCCCTGACTTTGTGACAGAGGGAGCATCTCTCACCCTCTTGACTGTTGGACAGTCTGTAGTTCCTGGTGTCCTCTGTCCATCAACCAAAGATAGGGTGACAGCAATGAAGGAAAGGTGGAAGTGCATAACTTGGACCCAGTAGAGAAATGTTGCTTTCATGGCTGAATCAAGGCAAGAGATTAGATTTCAGATATGTCAATGTGGCAGCACAAAGAAACTTCCACATCTAAGTGACAAAGTATTAGGCTTCAAAACAGAGGTGAGCCCCTTAAGGCAAGCCACTCTGAGACCAGAGTAGTAACACTTCATGTACAATCCAGCCCTGTCTGTCTCAGTGCTATGCGATGGCAGTGATGCTAGCTAAGAATGCTCAGGATGTTTCCCCAGATAGTCCCACACAAGCACCGTAGCTCACTGTGGCAGCACGTTGGCACCCTGGTCAATGCTGTTTGTGATCAACAGTCATGGTTTACCAGAAAACAAAATCTTCAGAAACTTTATTTCACAGAATTGAAGCTTTTCACTATGTCAGATTAAAAAATCAGGCAAACAGCTTGCATTTTTAAAATAGATCAGTTTCATTCCTTTTGTTCCATTAAAAACAATGTAAATACAAGCAGTCAGTACATCTTGCTGGTGATTTCTTGGTTTCCCTGATCCTTTGACCTTGTTCTCTCTCTTTTTTTTTTGTCTTGGCCACAGGAGTAGAATGGGATTGGGGGTGAGGAAGTGATATGGCTATTTGTTATGATTTGTATTATTGCTTGTTTTTTCCATTTCCATTACTGGCAGATTTAAACCCTTAGTCCTGTAAGGCTTTTGACTAGTGTTTTTTTTTTTTTTTTTTTTTTTGGCAGTACTGGGGATTGAACCCAGGAGTGCTCTATTTGAGCTGCACACCCAGGCCTTTTTTAAATTGTGAGACAGGGTCTCACTAAGTTGCCAAGGCTTGCCTTGAGCTTTCGATTTTCTGCCTCACTCTCTCAAGTAGCAGGGATGATAGTGCATCACCTCAAGCTGCAAGGTCAGCTTTTTGCATAGGCATTGCTAGGTATCTGGGAGACTGGTGCATATGGGGGTTAGGAGCCCAAGGCTGACAGATCACAGATTAATGGCTGTCTAGACCATAAGAGAAATTAGCACTGGTGTTGGGCATCTTGCTCAGTTGTGGAGATATCCTTTGGAATTAGGTTCCACTTTTAAACCAGTGCTTTTGGAAGTGGACTAACAATTTTAAAGTGGGAAAAATATATAGTTCCACTATAAAGTGATATTGCAAATGGATGTCTGTCCCATAGAAATTCTTTTAAATATTAACAGATACTGATTGGCCTGGGCAACTATGGGTTAACTAGGAAAGTGTCAACAGCCAGACTCAGTAAAACCAATGTAGTCACTTAATAGTTCCTTTAGTCTTAAAAAAAAGGAATGGTGAGTCAGAAAGATAAATGCAACCTTCAAACATGCAGCAGAGTAACTGTTAAAACCGGGTTCCCAGAGTGTGGAGCAAGACCCTGTATCAGAGCACAGCCCCCAGGAAAGAAATTGATGCTGAATCCCACAGAGGGGGAAGCCTCAGTTATTTCTAATTCTGGTCTTAGCTTCCTGACTCTTGCCCTTGGCTGGATGAAACTGGCTTGGTGGACTAATTTACACCTGCTGCCTCCACTCCCTGGTTTGTGTTACTTCACGGTTGCCTTCTTACAAGTTTTCTTTTTATTTTGGTACTGGGGTTTGAACTTGGGGGGTGCTTTTATTACATCCTTAGAGCTTTTTATTTTTGAGACAAGGTCTCACTAATTAGGTTGCTGAGGGTCTTCCTAAGTTGCTCAGGCTGCCCTTGAACTTGAAATTCTCCTGAGACTCCTGAGTCATTGGGATTATAGGTGTGTACCACTACACCTGGCTAAGTGCTACTAGTTTTTTAAAGGAAGTGTTATAAATCTTTCAGGTATATAATTTTAGCTTAAAAAAGTAATTAGTGTAAACATTGTGACTTCTGGAATATCTGAAGTTTGAGACAGAGTTAAGCAAAGATTGTCTCAGCTTTTCATATGTGCCAAATTCCTCTGTGAATATGGGCACTGGAAGCCAAGTGATGCTCTAGGCCAAGGTTCCCATGTTTTACCTGAACAGAGAAATGATCTTGACTTCAGAAAAGCCATTGGAGATGGGCCCCATGTTCAGATTTGAAAGTGTTTTGGGACCAGTGAAACAGCAGAAATGCTTTCTTTTCCCAAAAGTGTAATGCGGGTCATGGGGCTGGTGCTAATTTAGATTGTGGAATTAGCACACATTGTTAAGTTCTGCTTTATTAACTGTGCAGCACAAGCAGCTGTTTTGCAGAACATTGCAGGTTAAACTACAGGCCGTTAATGGTAACTCAAGAGGAGGGGAAATTTTTAAAACCAGCTAAATCAATCATTGCTTTTTAAGAACTTGAGCAAAGGTTAGCCCCCTGAGTTTTTTGCAGTTACACCCTTACCAGTGGTTTTCTAGAGGGAATGATCTATAGGTGTTTGTGGTGTTGAGATGCTAGCTCACTTATGATGTCTTGCTGACAGATATGTACAGAGCCCTCTGATGAGTAGCATTAACAAACTAAAATGCAAAAAAAATTATTCAAAAACCTGTTTTTGGCTGGCAAAGGTAAAATTAACCCATGAGAACATAACAACCAGGCCTTTCCTACCACCCCCCCCCCAAAACCTACAATATTAAAAACCAATCCAAATAAGGTAATTTAAAAGAAACAGGGTTTCAGTGCTGAGGACCAAGGTGCCCATCAAGGTTTTGCATCTGGAGGTTTGAAAAGTCCTACTTTCCGAAAATATCTGACAAGGAAGGGCACAGTGACTACCGTGATGCTGATCCTCACTGGTGCAAACAGCTTGTGGATTGCGTAGGCCACCACAAACGTGCTGGTGCTGGTTGCCACACTGGACGGTACCAGTGACTCTTGAAATCCGAGTTTGAGCAAGATCGAAGACATGTCTACACCACTGGAGGGGAGGCAAAACAAAACACAAGTATAGCAAGGGTTTAAGTTAATAAATTTGTTTGGCTGTAAAATTTATCACATTTTTAAAGATCCTATAAAAGTAGCTGGAGGAATAAAAAGGTCTTAGGAATCAAGTTCTCATTCATATAGGATCTTACATGACATTAAAACATATACCTATTACCATCAGAAACCTTACCTGGAGACCACCATGTAAAACAGCCCCACGGAGATGAGTGAGATCCCAATGTGCAGAGATACGCCGATTATACCGTATTCTTGAAAGACCTTTTTCAGCTGCTGTGACTTGCTTTGCTTTCCTTCTATGCTACCTGTGTTGCTGCCTGTTGTCTCAGTGGCTCTGTTGGGGTCCTGTGCATACATACACCAAAGAAGGGAGACTAGGTTGGTGGTCATCACTGGCTTGTATACTCACTTCTTCACCTGCTAAAATGTCAGTTATTCTCTTCAGTGAGCTAAGACTAAGTTTCACTTAGTCTCTGTGCAACCAAAGGTTACCTTCTAGGTATGGCAGACAGAATGATGGACCTAAAGATGTCCAAGTCTCAATCCCCAGCACCCATGAACCTGTCTCTTTACATGGCAAAAGAATTTTGTAGGTGTATTAAAAATCTTGAAATGGAGAGAGAATCCTGGATTATCTAGGTGGACCCAATGTCATTACAGGGTCCTTGTAAGGGTTGGTAGGAGAGTCAGTGCCAGAGAGGGAGAGGGGATGGCAGGTGGGAACTGGAGAAGCTATGCTGCTGGCTCATGGAGGCCAGGGCCACAGCCAAGGAACTAGGCAGCCTCTAGAAGCTGCAGGAGGCGGTAAATGGATTCTCTCCTGGAGCCTCCCAAAGGGACTAGCCTTGCTGACCCCTTGACTTTAGCCAGTGAGACCCATGTTAGATTTGACCTCTAGCAGTGATCACATGTGTCTGTTACAGCAGCAAGAGTGACTCCTGTACTTCAGGACTTATTTACTTGGGGGACATCAGTGATACTCCTTTAGGTACTTTCTCTGAGCCAGGTGGTCCTCTGCTGCACTGCACCATATCCATCTGGTTTCCTTTCATCCTCCTGGCAGCCTGCTGAGGTAGACACTACTGTTTTTCCCACCTTACAGAGGAACAGCACAGTCACTGGTCCAAAGTCATTAAGATCAGAGCCTAGGTCACCTGATGGTCATGTTGGGCACATGACCACCATGCTGCACACTACTGAAAAAGAACAGCGGGGCAAAAGCTATGGCTTAATTACTCCAGGACCAAGACTCACACCTCAGATCTGAAACAGGGAGGGTCCAAATTCTTGGACAATTGACTAGGATGTGTACAGAAGTCTGTATGAATGAATGTAGCATCTGTTAATACTTATGGATCACCTACCAGGCCTGGAGAAACAAAAACCAACCCATTCAACAACAACAACAAAAAAAACACAACAGAGAAACAAACCATGCCTGTGTTGGAAAATGCAAACCTCAATAAGAGAGCACTTTTAACCAAGATTCATCAGTAGTCCCTAGAGCTGGTCCAGGCAGGTGGCAAGCACAGCCTGTGAGCTTGCTCTGCTTAGAGAGCCTGCAGCTGCACTATTCCCCCGTTTTAGAGCATGCCACAGCTGAGCACACTGCAAGGCAAGGGGAAGGAGCATGCCAGCCACAGTGCCCAGGAGATGGGGTCAGGCTCTCAGATGGCAAAGAGGCATGGACATGATATGGGCCTGACAAAAAGTCTCCAAACCTGCTCCCTGTGCCTGCACAGCCCTGGCAGCCAATGCTTGAGCAGGGCCTCTCGCTGATCATGTCTGGGGTGAGGCTCCAGATGCTGTTTCTCTCAAAGGCTTCTGTCTGTGGACACTGCAGACTAATGAGGATCTAGGGAGTTTTCTATGCGGTGTGAACAGCCTTTGGTATTACAGAGGTAGGGTGAGGCTTGGTACTGGGCTTTGTAATTCTAAGGGGATCAGTCTGGCACACTCCCCTGACTGATCTTCTCTCCTGCTCACCCCAGGACAGAAGGGGAGGGTCCCACTGCTTTTCCATTTCACATATTTTAGGTGGAAATGAAAATGTCATCTCCTCCAAGAGGTCCTCCATTGCCACCTTCAGATCTTTATCAAATATCACCCTCTTTGAAACTAACAGGAAACTGTTAATCCTGTTGGAATGTCTCATTCCTATCATTCATTGTCTTGCAATGTAGCTGGAAGTTTGGCTGCCTTTTGATTTTTCTTTTATGGCCAGAAGGCCTTTTGCCAAACTAGAGGGTATAAACAAAAGGGCCCTCCACAGAGACACTATGCTCAGTCTGGTGAAAGGACAGACTGGCACATAATTGAGTTTCACTGGGCCAAGTGTCAAGGATGGGAATTGAAAGGGGCTTTCAGCCACCATCAGTTTAATAGCAGGTTTAGCCCTGGAAGAGCCTGTGGCTTGCCATCCTATCAGCTCTGGCAGCTGTCCCATCACCACAAGAGGCAGTAGGGCTTGTTTATCAGAACAAGTCGACCTCTCTGGACAACCATTGTGACTGGGGGTGCAGGGCTGGTCAGAGACCTTAAGGACAGGGGGAAGCGACATGTGCTGACCAAGCAAATGGAGGCTGGTAACCACTTTCCTTCCATCTCTTCAGAGGTGGAAAGTTCTGGAAAATTGTCTTCCTTTAGGAATGTTCCTTTTTTTGCAGGACATGGAGGGCACTGTGCATTATTTTTCCTTGCCCTCATGAGGGTCCATACTCATAGTGCTTTCATATCCACATATATATGATGCTCCCTTCCCTGCCCCAATAATATTAAAGAACAAAATTTGTATTAGAGAAGGGGCAAGAAGGTTGGAAGAATGAACCTAGGACCCTGCCTACAAGTTGACATCGTATTTTGGACTGACACTTATTTTTATTCATTGGCTAAATTGTAATGACACTATATTGCATTTACTTTGTACCAGGCACTGTTCTGAGTACTTTGGAAATATGATTCATATAATCCTTATCACACGTCTGTGAGATAGGCATTCCTGGCACCCCTACTAAACAGAAGAGAATCCTGAGTGCCCAGAGAGGCTGCATAACTTACCAAGGATCACACAGAGATGAACTGTCCAAGCTGGGACTCAAACCTAAAGTCTGGTTCCAAGGCCTTTACAACTGTACTGTGTTCCTTGCATATTCATGAGCATCTTCTCAGTGCCAGTCACTGTTTCAAGTACAGGGGACACAGCAACAAACAAAACCCACCAGGAGCCTATGGTCCAGCAGGAGGAGAGGGATAACAAACAAAAGTGAAATACCAGGGCTGGCAGAGGTGACAAGTGCTATGGAGGAGCACCTGGCAGGATTCCTGGTAGGAAAGCTGCAAGTTACAATGAGGGAGGCCAGAGCTGCAGAGGAGAGGACAGGCTCAGAGGGCGAGTCATCTGCCTAGGCATCCTGTCCCCTCACTAAGGGGTCAGTGGCCTATTCCTGCAGGCTTTACATGAGTGTGGATCATATTAACTGGAAAAGGCTAGTTTCTTCTGTGCTTTACTGCTCCCTTTAACAGAGCTCCTAACTATAGGCAGAGGTGGGCATGTCTCTCAGGCACTTAATGAAATGCCTAATATATTTTGAGACCCCAGCTGGGCTTAGCCTTCTTGCTTCCAATGCATGCAGCTAGAAGCAGCGGAGGAGGGGTTGGCTGGGCTCCATCCAAAGCCAGACCCTCTTTCTCACCTGCTCCAGGCCATCCTGGACAAGGGTCTTCTCAAGGAGATCAATATCTTTTTGTCTTAAACTACAGTTTGGTTCTGATCCTGCCTTGATTTCACCCATCTATTAGAGAGCTGGACAACCAAGGACAGATCATAGGCCCCTGGGGAGATATATATATATATTTACTGTGATTTTAACAATTGCTAATGTTAATCTAGGAGACACCAGATGCCAGGAATGAACATTATCTCATTTTACATTCACACGCTATGAAGTGTGAAATATTAACATCCCATTTTACTGGTGATGAAACAGAAAAGTGAAAGCATTTAATCGAGGCCACATTCAGTGCTCCTGTGTGAACACAACCCTATCAGGAGAGGGCTTGGGCTGGGGATGAGGATGATGGAGCTGACAGAACAGACAAGCAAAGGCCATTCCAGATGATGAATGCAGAGAAGACTGGCCCCACAGGTTAAGGGGCAGCCAGTGGAGGCTCCTGAGGCATCACCGGTGGTCAGGGAAGGATTCCTGAAGGAAGGGATGCCTGGGTTGAACGATGAAGAATCAACAGGAGGGCTGGGGTTGTGGCTCAGTGGTAGAGCACTTGCCTAGCATACATGAGACATATATTCAGCACTGCATATAAATAAATGAATAATATAAAGGCCCAGCAACAACTAAAAAAGATAAGTAAGTAATAATAAAGAATCAATAGGAGGCAGCCTGGTGTATGTGGTGGATCCCAAAGACTGTGCTAAGGATTTAGAGGAAAGGCCCTTATGCCATGCACCAGGCAGGAGAGGAGAGGGCAGGGGAGGATGTTTCTCCACCTGGAGGACAGGCTTAGAAAGAGCATACGCCAAACAAATCCCACTGCTACTTACTAGAAAACTATGGAAAGTTAGGAAGGGCTGGCCCAGTGCGAGGCACCCTGCTCAGGCAGGCCTGCATTAGCCCATGGAATTTCCCCCAGACTCTTGTCTGGAAAGTGCTAATTTCAGCCCTTGACAGGTCAGCAATGCTGGGTCAGGCATACAACCCAGAGTGCAGAGTTAGAGGCACCCTGATGAAGGACTGGGGCTCTGGGTCCTGACTTGCTATTCCTGTATCTCCAAACTTCACTACTACTTTATTAGAGACCCACTGTAAGAAAAAGAAAAAAAAATAAAGGAAAGCTGTTCTGAATGGAAACTAGTTTTCATTCAGCATCATGCAAGGCAACCAGAATAAGACACAGTTCCACACCATGGATTTTCTGCCTGAAGAAGATTGCTCTCCTAGTTAGATAAAAAGGGCGGAGCAGCAAGCTAAGGAGGTGTTAGATAAGGCAGCACCCAGAGGAACTTTCTTCTTGGCCAATGCTCCAGAGTGGAGGCCTGAACGGACTTCAAAGGGGCAACACCTAAGGCCCATCAGGAAGTTCACAATAAGTCTAGGCCCCCTAAGATTCTCTTGTTACACCACTGTCCTGGTTGAACGCTTTGGACACTGGATCTCTGCTGGGGATTGTGTGACCTTGGGCAGGCCACCAATACCTCTCTGAGCCTCAGTTTCGCCTACTGTCTATTGGGAAGAGCCATTTCTTGGTTTATAGGGATGTGGGGACTCAGGGACCCCTGAGGTGATCGGTTTTGGGGAGCTGCAAGTGCAAATTATCCTTGCAGCGGAAGTGGCCTGCCCCTGGCACAACGCTTCTAACAGCAGGGGATCGGAGCTCAGGATGAGGTGGGAGGCTTACCTGGTGGACACGGCAGTCCCCACCAGCGGTGCGCAGCAGCCGGGCGTCTGGCCCAGGCCTTAACAGGGCCAAGGCCAGGGGCGGCGGGGGACAGCGGGTGGTGGCGCCCAGGAGCCGGGTGGCACGAAGCCGGACCCGGGCACCCATCCTACCCGCCGTGAGCAGCAGTGCCAACAGCGCAGCCATGGTGCGCGGTTAGGCGCAGGTGCTGACTCTACGGACCAGAGAGGAAGCAGAAGGCCGGAGCGAGGAGGGCGGGGCCGGGGCCGCGTGCCCTTCCCGGTCCCGCCCCAAGTGCTGGGGTCGGGCTCCCGATGGGCGGGGCTGGAGACGGGTGCTCTTCCTTCCTGGCTCCACCCACTCGTCCCGCCCTCTGGAAAAGTGGCCGGAGTTTACGGGCTGCAGGCGCGCGCGCCTTCCGGGTCCCGCCAGCGCAGCGCCTCTGGGCGGGGCTTCAAGCGCGCGCCTGCCCTTGCCCGTCAACCCCGCCCCTCGGGAGCGAGTCTCCGCAGGTCTTGGCCGGAAGCTTGGCTTCTCAACTGCACAAGGGTCGGGTGGGCCTAGGGCTGCGGCCTGCCAGAGCTTTCATGCCAAGTGGAAAGTCCAGGCGCAAAGTCGCACGTTATTGATTCCATTTCTGTGAAATTCCCAGAACAGGCAAAACTTCAGAGACCTAAACAGATCAGTGGGCACCTGGGGCTGGAAGTGCGAGATGGGACTGACTGCGCAGGAGCGGATGGGACTTTTGGGGCAGGGAAGATCAGTTGAATAAGTAAAACTCGTGCCATTGGGCACTTAATACGGGCCAATCTCACATATGCAAATTTATCTCAAAGGAACAGTTTAATAAGTCTACGTGTTAGCTGCATTCCAACTTAACTAACCTCTTACAATTACGGAAGTCAATTTGGATGTGTGTGCATTCTTCTATGTTTATCTGTTTGTAAGGTGGAGTTACAGCCCCGCCAGTTAGAGGGTTTTGGGATGGTCCCAAAGCAGTTGGGTGGGAGTGCTTCTGCTTAAGTGTAGGTGGTGAGAGTTTAAGAGAGCAGGTGCTCAAACTGGTCCTAGGAGTCCAACTGTGAGGTTCTGGGAGTAGCCACTTAACCTGAATTGCAGTCTTTTCATCTGTAAAATGATGTTACCGCTGTTTACCGGTTTCAGTCCTTGCTTCCCCGAATGCTGAGGTATAACACCAGAGAAGCACTGGGGAGGCAAGTTTAGAGTGGAAAGTGGAAGGCTTTATTAAAGGACAGCAGAAAAGACTTCTCCCCTGAGGAAGAAGAGGACCCAAAAGGTGGAATCTGTGGAAGGGGGAGGTCTTCCCTTTTTTTATAGCTAAGGTCTTCTTTCAGCTTTCCCACACTCATGTCTTTTGTTTCCCTTTATCTGCAGTGATAGAATGCAGGTGAGAAGGCCCAAGGGAGACAGGTGGGCTGCAGGAGTAAACTGGGCAGAAAGGGCCTGGGGCTGCTTTTGATTAGCACCTCCCTGTTTGCTGGGAGCTGCTTCATTAACAGTTCCTTAGAATGGGTTCCTGGCCTTGGGCACATTAACATTTCAATTTCCCCTAGTGTTGCTCTGGTTTCCTGGACTCCATTCTCAATAATGGCCTCCATTTTCTTTATTTTATTCGATTTTAGCTACTCATCTTTAAATCTGGCTTCAATGAGAATAGTAATAGTCCCCCTCAGGAAATTGGAAAATAATTTGACACCGTGCATAGAAAGGGCCTTACCCAGTGCTGGGGCAGGAGGAGAGAGAGCTACGTTTGCTGTGAGGTCTTGAAGAGCCTTGCCCTGCACTCTGGACAGGGACCTGTGGATGGCACCTGACTTTGAGGTCCTCCCAATCCCCACAGTTTTCCTATCTCTGGTCCTTCTTTGTTCATTTAAGTTTCCTGTCCAAGCTTCATATCAGTTGAGTTTGTGATTTTTGCTGTATGATTATTAGGGCAGCAGAAAAACACATTTTTTTTTCACTTTAAATGTGATAGTAAATATAATACTGTAATTACAGTATTATAATTATTTTGTAATAATGGAAAATGTTTTTTGGTCTAAAAATGATGTGGAAATTATCTTTCTTTTAATGTAGTGTAGATAATGTTCTTCACCCTGACTTTTTTTCCTTTTTAAAAAAAAATTTTTTTTAGTTGTAGATAGACACAATATCTTTATTTATTTCTATGCGGTGCTGAGGATTGAACCCAGTGCCTCACACATGGAAGGCAAGTGCTCTACCTTGGAACTACGGCCCCAGCCCCTCACCTTGACTTTTTTAACTTCAAATATATTTTTTATTTTTTCTGTTTCTGTATGTAAAAATGTTACTCATTCTTTTAAAGTCTGTTTAGCATTTCTAGGGACTGTAATACACTTAACAATTCCCTGTTGGTGGACAATTAGGCAGTGTTCTAGTCTTTGCTATCACAAACCATGATTCACTGAACCCCCTGGTATTTGTGTTGTTATCCATATTCAAGTGTACCTATAGATAAACTCCCCAAAATGGAATTGCTTGGTGAAAAGATATATGTATTTGTACATTTGAAGGGATGGTAAAATTATATTCCATAAAGGTTGCAAAGTATGAGAATATCTATTTAGCCTCACCCTCAGCTACTGTCTTAGCAGACAAAGTGAAAATGACACTTTCCCCCTTAATTTATGAGTTGGACAGCATCAAATACAGCCATGTGAATAGCATTGGTAGTTATATTCATGTTCTATGCTGATAAAAAATCACCCCCAACCCCCTTTAATTCACCATCTCTGTAGAAGCCAGGCCTCGCTTACTGGGTCTTCTGCCAGGATCTCACTGCACTAAGGCCAACATCTTATCAGAGGCTCAACTGTGAAAAGATCCACTTTATGAAACTCATCTTGCATTTATAAAACCAAGGGCCCCTGCTGGTGTCAGCTGGAGTTCTAGAGGTGCCACATGGCTCCCTTGAAGCCTCACACAGTAGGGCCATTTGTTCCTTCAAGGCTCTCAGGAGTCTTCTCCTGTAAGGGTAAAAGAAATTGAAGTTAAAGCGTAAAAGTTAAAGGGTAAAAGACCGGGTGTTGTAAAGTTTCTAAGCTGCAAGGTCTGAGTTAAAATGTAAAGGATTAGGTATTGTTAGGTTTCTATGCTACCTGCAAAACCTGAAATTTCTGTAGCTGTTAAGACAATGCTTAGAACCGCCCAGTAAACATTTCCCCTGTTTGGTTGTTTAATAACTGAAGGGCTCTGTGTGGTTGCACGTAGGCCTTGCAGGGCCTGAACCAATCAGTTTGAATGTGTACCCCGTTTAGAAATGACCTATCACTCCAGCCTGACCTGTTCCCGCCAATGAATGAACTAATCATGTTTAGGAGTTGTTGTTCAATTGCTGGGAGCCATTAGCCAAGTAGGTATGACAATTTCCTTGCCAGCGTACCCCATGTTGCAGTGACATTGAATGTACTTAACCTTGCTCAAGGACCAAGGCAGATTAGGGTGTTCCCGGTTTTAAGATAATCGTGTTTAGGGCGTTCCTGGTTTAGGTTCCAGGTTTAAGGTTTAAGATTATTCCTGCTGGGAATAGGGCGTATCCTGCTGCCTGAGTTCCCCTTGAGTTCTCACGGGATTTAGACAATATATTTTGGAGATAGAAGCCCAGTGGAAGGGGATTTGGGCAGAGAACGTGGATTTGGGAAGAGAACGTGGATTTCCCCAGAACGTGATTGTAGACAGCTGGTGTGAGTTAGGGAATAAAGAGTTGCTGTTTGAATCTACAAGCTGTGTGGTGGCTCGTGATTGTGTGCCCAGCCAGACTGTGGCATTTGTGCCGAGCCAGACTGTGGCATTCAATTTTCCCACGCCTCATGATGATTTGTTCTGATGTATACAAAGCCCTCCGCCCTCCCCAAAAAGTGTACTTAAGCAGTGCTCAGCCCCTGCTCGGGGCTCTGGGCTGCTTTCCCTTCTTGAGTGGGCACGGAGCCCCAGCATGCTGGTTCAATAAATCCCCTTCTGCCAATTGCATGGGTGGTCACTTGGTGGTCTCTTTCTCCGACGCTTCGCCTGACCCTTACACTCCCACCTCTTCCTTGGGTCTGCCAAGTGGACTCCGATATCTCAGTGTAACCATAGCAGTGACATTACATAATCTTCCACTTTCTGTGGGCTGGAAGAAGGTCACAGGTTTGTCGAGTCTAGTGGAGGGGATTCTAGTAGGGTTTACCCCCAAGAACATGACTCAATGAGGGTTACCCCTCAATGCATGCCAACAGTAGAAGCAAGTTCGTACAGCAAAGTATGTTCAAGGGGGTATTAATGGAGGAAGGAAGAGGAGGGAGGTTGTGGTTCAAATAACCTATGTGCAGGGCCACTGAGGATCAAACAGGTGCAAGGTCTGCCTTAGAAAAGACAGAGCTCTGGCCTTCAGACAAGGGACACTTTCCTTGCCTCTGAGTTCTTGTCTTAGAGGATTGTTTAGCAAAATATAGGAGTGTGCATACATGTTCTATGCAAATACTACATATTTTATATAAGGTACTTGAGCATCTGTGGCATTTGGTACCTGGAACTCATCCCCCATGGAACAGAGGGATAATTAGTTAGAATTTGACTATTCTCCCCCTGCTCTACCACCTTCTGCCTAGACTTTTCCCCAGCCTCCCCTTGGGTTCTCAGGCTTCTGTCCTTGACTCCTGCCTCTACCTGGTAGGAACAGTGATCCCTTTAACCTGGATGTGAAGTCTCATCAATTCTCTGCTCAGCACAGCACCCCAGCCTCGGGGCTCTTTGCTGTTCTTTGTAGTTACTTGCTGTTAACACCAGCAGCAGGCAGGGCTGTACACCTTGACACCCCCTGCTCCCTCTGCCTGGGTGTCTCCAAATCCTCACACTCACTCTTTTATTTTGCTCAGATTTCTGCAAAGACATGTACTTCCTTGGGCAGCCTGCCCCGGCCCTGGAGCCAGGAAACTTTGATGGCCCCTGCTGCCTCTATCTGTTGTCGCGTAATTTATCACTGCCTGATGAGTCATATGTTTATATTTGCATATATATATGCAGGGAGAGGAACTGCCTCCTGGAGTCGCCCTGTAGGGATTGCCATATGTGGCCTGCCCTTAGTCGGTGCTCAGGAAATATTTGCTGAACAAAGATTTCCTTTTATTTTTCCCTTTTCCTTGCCGTGTGCCTTTACTGTGCTTGTCCTGTGAAGTGAATACACTGATAGTCAGGAGTCTTTGCCCCACTGTGTTTTGTAGCGGTGAGGATGGGGTTTGGCCTCAAGA